CTCACCTCCCCTGTACACGCACGTCTGCTTCCCTCACCTCCCCTGTACACGCACGTCTGCTTCCCTCACCTCCCCTGTACATGCCGCATCCGTATGTACGGCCCGGCCTTCAAAGTTACCGGCTGCTTGCTTTTCAATCGTAATTTTGAGTAGTATATGATTGATTTGTGTGGACGTCTCTCTCGCGGACTGTCTGTCCATCGTATTCTTCTAACATTGATCTACTGTTCCATGCAAGTGTGTGTGAATAATGGATGTACTCTAGTATGGCGCTAGATTTAGGGCGGCGTATTAAATGCAGATTCGCGCCAGATCTCCGCGAATAAATAATCGACGAACCGAAAGTGGAAGTTTCCTTTGTCTTCTGTCCGGGTTTTTCCCCATTAAGGCAATTCTTTGCCCGCGTTATCACGTTGCTGCGTAGAACTATAAATATGCCTGCTTCTAGGAAAACCTATTCTACACTAATGAAAGTCGTGCTGCAGCTGCAATAGCAACGAGTAATTGTACGCGCCGAGAGAGTGACGCTATTGGGCATATGGTTCAGTATTATGATGATTTCTGCTGCCGTTTCTGAGTGCATCGGTCATTTAAGTTATTGGAAAGGACCGATGGCAAATTGTAATGTGCGGCGCAATAGCTATCAGTGTTTGTTTTCGCGCGAGCGATGTTAGTGTTCTAAGTAATGATGTATGTCGTGCGTGCGCAAATGTCATTGCACCCACTTGAACTCACTCACCTCTCACCTCACCTCTTTCGTTCTCTCCGTTTTCGACGCAGACCCGAGTTTCGTCATTAGCAATCCCAACTGGCCAATTATATCGCTTATAGACATTGAAACCGACGATTGAATTCACAATTAATTTGATGATATAGATGAATAAGATTTTATAATTTTTTGCCGCGCAGATCCGGGTTTCGACATCAGCAGTCCCAAGAGTCGACGCGCGTGCTAGTGTGCACTGCCATTGTTTCGTTCTCTCACTGACACACTTTCTCTGTTTTCGACGCAGACCCGGGTTTCGACATCAGCAGTCACAACTGGCCAATTATATCGCTGAAACCGACGATTGAATTCACAATAAATTTGATGATATAGATGAATAAGATTTTAAATTCTTTGCAGACCCGGGTTTCGACATCAGCAGTCCGAACTGGCTCGGCGCGTGGTGGCTCGGCTTCGACATTGTCGCACTCTGCATCATCCCCGCCGCGCTCCTGCTGCTCGGCTTCCCGAAGAAGCTGCGCAACCTGAAGCCACTCATCAAGGAGATGAGCGCGTCGAGCACGACGCGTTGCCTCGACGCCGCCGAGGAGAGGCTCGACAGGGAGGAGCTGACGAGTCCCGTCGCGCCGGAGTCCGCTGCGGTGGCGCCCCCCGGCGGCCACAAGGGCGAGACGGTGCTGCAGAGCATGGAAGGTGAGGCGGTGGGAATCTTTGTTGGAGTTGTTAGGGGATGGTAGCTGACTTCTGGCGCTATCGATTGAATGGCGTTCGCATTCCTGCTTCTCATTCTGTTCCTCCTCTTTGTTCTCCTCTTTTACTATTCTTTTCCATTTATTTTTCATTCTATTATTTCTTCTCATAACCTGTTGTATTTGATCTGTTACCCTACGTCATACAATTAAAAAATCGTCTTGAAATTAACATTAAATTAAAAAAACATTTTGTTCAGATTATTACCATTGGTGGTAGTGTGATGGATCTTTCATGTCCTACCAATCTTGAGCAAGTGGGCGCTGCCGTGTCCTCACAATCGGTGAACTGCCTGTCAGTGTCAATAGATCGGTGGGGGATTCTGAGAATGTGGCGTATAGCGTGCGCGATTCCAAGTAAAACTAAGTATCGTAAAAGACTGATGAGACACAGGGCACGTCATAAACGTTTAATGTATCCTGGCTTTTCTCTTCCATCAGAAACTGCCGTTTGTGCGAATGATTTAGAAGCAACTTACGGAGTGTGTATGTATCCTGAGGTATAGTTTATGGGACACGCATCCAATCTCAGTTATAAGGGACAGAAATAAATTCGGTGTTGTCGGTAATTGGTGAGTAATACGTACTGATTGCTGTAAAGAATCAGGTGCCATTGAAGTGAATAGATGGGGATAGAAAGAATGGAGCAGCTGGATTCTAATAGTGCATTGGCCTGAAGGAAAGTAGAAATTGGAGTGGGAGAAGTGCACATGGCTAGCGCCAGACGTGCTTACTGACTAAGTGGCATATAGTGAGAAAGTTGGAGGGGTCGTGAACATCACAAGGTGGCTAGCATTGTCACAAAAAAAGCAGACAGTTTCAAAAATCATCTTAGGAGCGATGGTAAAACCATTTTTAACGTTCACATGTAGTAGGGTTGCTGCCAGACTGGTTTGGTGAGTTTTATGACGTGAAGGGGAGGCAGATGGGGTTGCAGGGTGGGTAACAACTACAGTGTAGTGAGCATTGTTTCACTGTAGACTGTAGTGTATTTTTTCCATCTTTAGTCAGAATGAGTTCATTATTACGTAGTGATTAATTTAATATTTTAATTGTTTTACACCAATTGCACTTAATCCAGACACCGTGGCGTACAAAGGCATTCGAGTCTTAGCGTAATTAAGCATAAAAGCAGATACATAAGTGAAGAATAATATGTAATTACTGCCCGATATATATATATCGAAACAATCTATGTTGCGAGTGCCGGCCGATTGCATCTCGATTCACATATGTCAGCGGGTTAATTTCTATGTATCCCCATCAATATTGCACGAAGTGAATGAGCGACGACACGACCCTACGTTCTAGTGGTTACGCGTGACCGACTATCCAGAGATTGCCGAGAGACGTAATCGGCCGAGAGGCGTAATAGATCCAGTCGGCGTCGGCGGCGGCGGATGATGAGGAGGATTGGGAGGAGGAGGAGAAGGAGGAGGAGGAGGAGGAGGAGGTGGAGGAGAGATTGTTAGTTAGTGTTAGTCGGGCGTTGCTTCATCGTCGTCGTTCGTAGGTGTCGTCGTCGGTGGTGGTGTAGGAGGAGGAGGAGGAGGAGGTGGAGAGAGATTGTTAATTAGTGTTAGTCGGGCATTGCCTCATCGTCGTCGTTCGTAGGTGTCATCGTCGGTGGTGGTGGAGGAGGAGGAGGAGGAGGAGGAGGGGGGAGGAGGTGGAGATGTAGGAGGTGGCGGAGGAGGAGGGGTAGAGGCAGGAGGAGTGAGCGCGAGGAGGTTGGAGAGAGCAGGGGGAGGAGGAGAGAGATTGTTCATTAGTGTTGTCAGGCCGTGTGCCTGCATCGTCGTCCGTTCTGTAAGGTGTAGTCGGTGGCAGGCACGGCGCGGTGGAGGAGGAGGCAGGGAGAGGAGGCAGTCGAGGGGGGGAGGAGGGTGGCGGAGGAGGAGGAAGTAGGAGAGGAGGGAAGGAGCAGGATCGAGGAGCGAGGAGCAGGGGGAGGAGGGAGAGCTTGCTTCCTTAGTGTTGTCAGGCGTGCCTTCATCGTCGCGTCTAGGCGGCGGGGGAGGAGGAGAGGGGGGATGAGGGGAGGAGGGGGGGGGGAGGAGGAGACGCAGGAAGAGAGGAGGAGGTTCGAGGGGAGGAGAGGAGGAGGAGGAGTAGAGATGCGAGGGGTGGCGGAGGAGGAGTAGGCAGGAGGAGGGCAGGAGCAGGAGGAGGGAAGGAAGAGGGGGAGGAGGAGAGAGATTGTTCTTAGTGTTAGTCGGGGTTGCCTATCTGCTCGTCCGGTTTGTAGGTGTCAGTCGGTGGCGGCCGCGCGTGGAGGAGGAGGAGAGAGTTGGAGTGGAGCGAGGAAGAGGTGGAGGAGGATTGAGAGGAGGAGGAGGAGGGGAGGAGGAGGAGGGAGGTGGAGTAGGGGCGAGGGGCGGAAAAGGAGAGAGGAGGGAAGGAAGAGGAGGAGGAGGAGGTGAGGGAGGAGGAGGAGGGGAGGAGAGAGAGGAGGAGGAGGAGGAGAGAGATTGTTATTAGTGTTAGTCGGGATCTGCCTTTATACGTCGTTACGTTCGTAGTGATCATCCGTCGTGGTGGTGGGGAGTAGGAGGAGGGGCGAGAGAGATTGTTTTAAAAATTAAGTGTTTAGTCGCGGCATTCGCTCATCCGTCGTACGTTCGTAAAAGGATGTCGTGCGTCGGTGGCGGTGCGAGCAAGGAGGTGGAGGAGGGCGAGAGAGATTGGTTAAGTTAGTCGTTAGTCAGCTTTGCTTCATTCGTGTCGTTTGTTACGGTGGTCGTCGCAGGTGGCGGCGGCAGCGGTGAGAGGAGGAGGATCGGGATGAGGAGGAGGAGCGGCGCGAGGGGGGAGGAGAGAGGAGGCAGCGAGGGCGGTGGAAGGTGGGAGGTGGCGGGAGCGAAGTTAGGAGTAGGAGCAGCGAGCAGGGGGGGAGGAGAGAGATTCGTTCAGTTAGTGATTAAGTCGGGCGTTTCCTCATCGTCGGCGTGTGTTAGGTGTCGTCGGTGGTGTGCGTGCGTGCGAGGAGCGAGGAGGGAGGAGGAGTTGCAGAGAGATTGTTAATTAGTGTTAGTCAGGCGTTGGCCTCTCGGTCGCTCGTTTGTAGGTTGTGTTCGGTGGTGGTGGAAGGGGAGGGGAGGAGGAGGAGAGGAGATTCGTTATTAGTGTTGGCGGGCGTTGCCTAATCGTCGTTCGTTTTGTAGGTGTCGTCGGTGGTAGGTGGTCAGGCAGCGAGGATGCGAAGGAGGGGAGAGAGATTGTTAAATTTAGTGTTGTCATGGCGTTGCGCTCATTCGTCGGTCGTCTTGTAGTGTCGTCTACAAAGTGGCGGCGGGCTTCAGGCCGAAGGAGGACGGGGGGGATTGAGGAATGAAGAGGGGGGGGGCGCGAGGAGGAGGAGACGCAGAAGAGGAGGAGGAGGTGGAGGGGTACGAAGAGGGGAGAGTGCGAGGAATGAGGGGTGGCGAGAGGGGAGGAGTATTGGAGGCAGGCAGCGAGGAAGCAGGGGGAGGAGGAGAGAGATGGTTCATTCTGGTGTTGTCAGGCGTGCACTCATCGTCGTCGTTTAGTACGTGTCTGTCGGGTTGGCGGCGGGCAGCGGTGTAGAGGAGAGGAAGGAGGTGGAGGCGGAGGAGGACAAGACGGTGAGGAGGAGTAATGAGAGCGGACGAGGATGGAGGAGGAGGAGGAGGAGTGAGTCGGGGTTGGAGGAGGAGGCGGGGGGAAAAGGAGGAGGGAGGGCGAAGGAAGAGCGAGGGGCGAGAGGGGAGGGGAGGAGGAGGAGAGGAGGAGGAGGAGGAGGAGGAGGCAGGAAGAGAGGAGGAGGAGGAGGAGCAGAGATTGTTAATTAACGGTTAGTCGAAGGCGTATGCCTCATCGTTGTCGTCTCGGTACGGCTGTCGTCCATCGGCGGTGGAGAAGTGGGAGGAGCAGGGAATGAGGAGGAGGAGTCTGGAGGAGGGGAGTGATGGTATAATTAGTGTTATCGGGCATTACTTTGTCGTTTGCAAGTTCTCGCTCGAGCCGTAGTCAGCTCGCCGCCAATGTCATCTTCCGGCACGATCATCTCGGAGCCCTGCGCAGGATGTCTTACATCGTCGACTGGCTTTCTTCACTTACTTCACAAGATCCTGCGAGCTGCGTTCTATCGACGCCGCCCCAGGCAAACACCTCACTCAGAGTATGAAGCTCTTCTGAACGATCGGTGGTTGTGGGGAGGTGTCAGGGCTGCAGCTACTAGGTTTGTAGTAGGCAGTACTAGGTTGATAGTAGCATTTACTAGGGCTTTACTAGCAGCAGTCCTATAGTAGCAGTACTAGGTTTAGTAAGCTGCCAGTACAGGCGTGATAGTAGCAGTACGTTTAGGCTTCTTAAGTAGCAGCAGTACTATGGTTTAGTAGCAAGCAGTACTAGGTTCAGTAGCTGCAGTCCTAGGGCTTTAGTAGCGCCAGTACTAGGTTTGAGTAGCAGCGTACTAGGTTTAGTAGCAAGCAGTTACTGTTGTAGTAGCAGTACTTAGGGTTTAGTAGCAGCCAGTATTAGGCGTTTAGTAGCAGCAGTACTAGGCTTTAGTTAGCGCAGTACTAGGGTTAGTAGCCAGCAGCAAGATTACTAGGCGTTTAGTAGCGCAGCAGTCTAGGGTTTTCAGTAGCAGCAGCCAGTACTAGGGTTTTAGTTAGCAGCGTACTAGGGTTTTAGTTTCAGCAGTCTAGGGTTTTAGTAGCAGCCAGTACTAGGGTTTAGTAGTAGCAGGTACTAGGGTTTAGTAGCAGCGTACTCAGGCTTTGTTGTCAGTAGCGTACTAGGACGCTTAGTAGCAGCAGCTACTTAGCGGTTTAGTGCGCAGTACTAGGTTTAAGTGCGCAGTACTAGGGGTTTAGTTAGCTGCAATTATAGCGGCTTTAGTGCAGCAGTATGGGTTTAGTAGCAGCAGTACGTAGGGTTTAGTTAGCTGCTCAGTACTAGGGTTTTAAGTGCGCCGTACTAGGGTTTAGTAGCTGCGTTAATAGGGTTTAGTAGCAGCGTTACTAGGGTTTAGTGAGCAAGCAGTGCTAAGGGAGTTTAGTAGCAGCAGTACTAGCGATTTAGTAGCAGCAGTACTAGGGTTTTGTAGGGAGCTGCTAGGGTTGTAGCACCAGTGCCTAGGTTTCAGTAGCGCCAGTACTAGCGGTTTGTAGTACGCCAGCCAGCAGTACTAGGGGTTAGTAGCGCAGTACTAGGCGTTTAGTAGCTGCAGTACTTAGGTGGTTTGAGTAGCAGCCAGGACTAGGGTTTCCGTAGCTGGCAAGATACTAGGCGATTTAGTAGCGCAGCTTACTAGGGTTTAGTAGCGCAGTAACTAGGCGCTTTAGTTAGCAGCAAGTCACCTAGGGGTTTGTAGGCAGTGCTTAGGCGTGTAGTAAGCAGCCAGTACTAGGGTTTAGTAGCTGCAGTGCAGTACTAGGGTTTGTAGCAGCAGTACTTAGGGTTTACGTAGCAGCAGCAGTACTAGGGTTTAGTAGGCAGCGCAGTACTAGGGTTTAGTTAGCAGGTACTAAGGGTTTAGTAGCAGCGCACGTATAGGGTTTTAGTAGCAGCAGTACTAGGGTTTAGTAGCAGCGTACTAGGGTTTAGTGCAGCAGCGTACTAAGGTTTTAGTAGCAGCAAGTACTAGGGTTTAGTCAAGCACGCAGTACTAGGTTTAGTAGCCACGCAGTAACTAAGGGTTTAGTAGCAGCAGTACTATGGTTTAGTCAGCTGCCAGTATAGCGGTTTAGTAGCGCAGTTACTAGGCGCATTTAGAGTAGCAGTCTGGTTTAGTAGCAGCAGTACTATGGGTTTAAGTAGTAGCAGTATAGGGTTTAGTAGCAGCAGGTTACTTAGCGGTTAGTCAGCAGCCAGCTACTTAGCGGTTGTAGCAGCAGCAGTACTAAGAGTTTAGTAGCGCAGCTACTAGGGTTTAGTTGAGCTGCCAGTAACTCGGTTTTGTGAGGCAGTACTAGGGTTTTGTGCTGCAGTAACATAGGGCTTAGTAGCAGCAGTAACTAGGGTTTAGTAGCCAGCAGGTCTACGTCGGGTTTGTAGCGAGCTGGCTAGGGTTTAGTAGCCAGCGTTACTAGGGTTTGTGCTGCAGGCCAGCTACTAGGGTTTCGTAGCAGCAGTACTAGGGTTTAGTCGCAGACCAAGCAGTACTAGCGTTTGTGAGTAGCAGCCAGTACTAGGGTTTGAGTTAGCAGCAAGTACTTAGGGTTTAGTAGCAGCAGCAGTACTAGGGTTTAGTAGCAGCAGTACTAGGCGTTTAGTAGCAGACAGTACTAGGGTTGAGTAGCAGCAGCAGTACTAGGCGTTTGTAGCAGCAGTATAGCGGTTTAGTAGCAGCAGTACTAGGGTTTCAGTAAGCAGCGTACTAGGGTTTAGTAGCAGCAGTTTACTTGGTTTAGCTCGCAGCAGGTACTGGGTTAGTAGCCGCGTCTAGGGTTTAGTCAGTAGCAGTACTAGGGTTTAGTAGCGCATACTTGGTATTAGGATGTAGCAAGTACTAGGGATTTTAGTAGCAGCCAGTACTAGGCGTTTTAGTAGCAGCAGTTCTAGGGTTAGTAGCAGCATGTGCTAGGTTTAGTAGTTAGCAGTGCATTAGGTTTAAGTCAGCTAGCAGTACTTAGGCTTTAGTAGCAGCAGTATAGGCTTTTAGTTAGTAGCGATCTAGGGTTTTAGTAGCGCAAGTACTTGGCGTTTCAGTAGCAGCCGTACTAGGGTTTAGAGAGCAGTACTAGCACGGTTGAGTAGCCAGCAGTGACTAGGCGTTAGTAGCAGCAGTACTAGGGGTTGTTAGGATGGGTAGGAGTATTGTAGCAGCAAGTACTTAGGGTTTTAGTAGCTGCAGTGCAGTATTAGGGTTTAGTAGCGCGCTACTAGGGTTAAGTGCAGCAGCAGCTATAGGGTTTAGTAGCAGCGTACTGGGTTTAGTGCAGCAGTACTAGGGTTTAGTAAGCAGGCAGCAGTACTAGGGTTTAGTAGCAGCAGTACTAGGGCGTTTAGTAGCAGCAGTACTAGGGCTTTAGTGGACAGCAGTACCTAGGTTTTAGTAGCGCAGCTACTGGGTTTAGTAGCAGCAGTTACCTAGGGTTTCAGTAGCAGCAGTTACTTAGGTTTAGTCGCGCAGTTTACTATGGTGTTAGTAGTAGCAGGTACTAGGGTTTCAGTAGCGCACTTAGGTTTAGTAGTAGCGGTACTAGGGTTTAGTAGCCAGCGTACTATGGTTTAAGATAAGTAGCAGTACTAGGCGTTTAGTAGCAGCAGTACTTAGGGTTTAGTAGCAGCAAGTGCTAGGGTTTAGTCAGGCGCAGCTTACTAGGGTTTAGTAGCAGCAGCAGTGCTAGGGTTTAGTAGCAGCAGTACTAGGGTTTAGTAGCAGCAGTACTAGGGTTTAGTAGCAGCAGTACTAGGGTTTAGTAGCAGCAGTGCTAGGGTTTAGTAGCTGCAGTGCTAAGGTTTAGTACCAGCAGTACTAGGGTTTTGTAGGAGTGCTAGGGTTTAGTAGCAGCAGTGCTAGGGTTTAGTAGCTGCAGTGCTAGGGTTTAGTAGCTGCAGTGCTAAAGTACGCAGTAGCGGCGATGAGCGCGTGTTTACGGGGCTGTGTCAGCTTCAGTACCGCACGTGCCGCGGCAATCGGCACGCTACCGGGCATCCGGTTTTAGCCACGATCCTCATTATATTGCGATATCGGTTTACCCGGCTAGCTGCTAATAACACACACTCGCTCGCCGAATCGGCAGCTGTGAGGTCGAAATATTTCATCGCGGCGGCGCGCACTTCCTCTGCATTAATCTTGTTATTATGAGCGTGGGGCAGCGTGAAGGATCGCTGGAGCGTGCATGCGGTGCAAGCTTCCTTGGTTTAATCTCGTGCCGCACGTTGATTGCGATGACATATCAATGTGCACTAACTCATGGCTGTGAAGCCATACTAATAAGCATACGCACGTTATTCGTATCGTTAACGTAATTCGGCGTAGCAAAAGCACGGGGCAGAGATGAACGCGTTTGAGTGATGAACCCAGTGGACGGGATTGGATGTAGGATTTGGACACTCCGCGGGGGATAGATTATTGTTGTTGTTTACGGAAAGGTTGATAATGATAGTGATGATGACGAATGTACATGTGATCTGTGCTGGCTGTTCCTATTGGTGGAATGGTTCACATCCGGTTCCACTGCAACCGAATATATTTCATGTTGTACCTTGTTGAAAATTTACAGGCCACTGTATGAAAGGCTAGGTTGTTCTCTGGGAAATTTCGCAGTCGTCAGCACTCGATCATCTGGGCGTGATCATTGCTTTCGGCATGTGCCATCTTCTAATGGTCCCTTTTAGGTTTGGCTTCTTTGTTTCTGTCATTCCGTATTGGAATTCTCTCCCGTCGTCTTTAGTAAATTGCAAAATTGCGGCGTTTTCCGCTGCGATCCGCAGTGTTGATCTGTCGATTTGATCAACTTGTCTCTCCATCTGTGTTATAGCCCTTTACTGTCCTTATGAGGTTATCAAGCAGGTGTCCCGCCCATGTTAGGAATTCTGGATTACGATGGATTGTAATTTGAATAGCACATGTCGTGTTTGTGATGTGGTATTGCGTGAGCAATTTAATTTGATAGGTTTCCAATTTTAATATGTTTGATGTGCAATCGAGATGACAGTGTCAATGATGGAGAATTATATTTAGAAAGAAGTGGTCTCGATCGTATGTGCATATTTTCTGCGGTGTTAGTTTTAGCGGTAGTCAAGGGCAAACAAGAACGACGGTATTCTACGTGTGAATTTGATCGATGAGCGAGAGATTGCATGGGTATAGATTTGCTTCTATTAATTTAGACTTTTTTGATAGACTGATTCCAAAGCCAATGCTGAATCTAAGAAATAACGTACAGCTGCGTGTGATGTTGCAACTTATATAATTCAACTATTTCTGGAATCCATTCATGATAAAATTTTAACTCAAGTTGATGAATTTTTTCGCGTACTAATGAGTCGATGGGACTTATAAATAGACTTAGAAGTGTTTGCTTCACTCCCGTTTGCTAGTAGATAGAAAATGTTCTCAGAGTAACGGCTGGATAATGTGTACATGTGTTCAACGTTTTACAATTCTGTTCAAAAGTGCACAATTCATGTGCTTATGCGCCTTACTGTAAAGTTTCCATCAT